CTTACGTGCTGGACCAAGTCAAAGATTTCAAAAAATGCACAAACACATATGTATAAGCGGAATAGCGGAATAGCTGTCGCAAGCTGAGTTTAAGGCTATAGAAGAACCATTTGTTTTGCAAAAATAACTTTGCTGCACTTTCCTTGGTTTGGTTTTACAGAATGCATTTGACAGATCGCACTGAAATTTGTTATTGAAATGGCGTTGAAAAATAAAATATACATTTAGTGAATTTAATTTTTAAATTTTTGCTGCGGCGTTTGCAATGAAGTTTTTGTGAACTTCCGCTGCTAATAATTCAATTTTTTAGAAACACTTGTTTATGTGCCAGCATTTCAGCTAACGGCATTTATCTCTACCAGCAAAGACTGCAATCCATAGATTGTACAATATCTTTTAAATATTTATGCTAAGTACGTCCCGGGCTTCGGCATGCTTGAAGATATTTGTTGTTTACCTGTGTAGCTCATACGCCACGGCGAACAATTCAGATATGTAAATATTGTAATAGCACAATGCGCCATTCTAAGGCGATGATCAAATTGGTGGTGTTAACGTACAGTTAAGATATTTGTAATAGTGGTTGGCGCGTTGGACTTATATTGCGAGAAAAATTTAGGTCTGATTTTGAAGTGAGGCCCCTTTCCAAAATTGAATAAATTTCAAGAAACATTTGGTTTGTCTAATTTTTACGCATTTGTAATGCGGTACAATTTTTTGTCATTGCCCGATTAGGTGTTCTTCTCTTTCTTTTGTTTTCTTGTTAAGCAACTGCTTTGTCGTGAATCACTTAAGCACCGCCGAATGAGTCAATCACATTTCCAAACAGTTAGATTGTGTAGCGAAATATGTGTGTCAAAATAGTTAAAACTTCAGCGCTCGATTACAAACCATTCAATGCACCCTGCCGCGGCATCCACCGGCCGTTGTGTTGTAGCTGTGCGCGCTCGCGGCGTGTTGGTGGCGTTGCACCAACTTTAAGCGGTTCCCAGAGGTCAACGGCAGGATAAGAGTGACTTTATTTTTGTTTGAACGATATTAAATTTTGTGCGCAGAATTTCAACGGCTACTCTTGCAGCTGCGCTCTCGCTCTAGCACCGATAGAAATAAATATTTGCCCACTTGCAGTTGGTTGGCTGCCTTCAGGCTGGCTGCTTTTCTAGAGTTGCATTCGCAAATTTTGGCAAAGTTTTGAACGCGTTTGTTTCCTTACTGTTGTTGTGGTTGGGTTTCGTTTACTTTTCATTAAAGTGTAAATGTGCCATTCCGCTTTGCGTGATGTTTCTCATGAAGTTTCTTAAGCCTTACTGAAATTCGTTTGTCTGAAAGTACCAAATTACTTGGCAGCATTGATATAGACACAGAAGTTTCAATTAGTCCTTGCGAACTCATATCTCGTTATTGGTTACTAAGATACTCATTGAGGTTCAATCATTATAAGAGCCAGATGCTTTTGATAAATGTTGCAAGATTTCTGGAGAATGTCGCTTGATTTAAGCTTTTGTATCTTTTTATGAGATTTCTTTCCCCACACACACATGCACATAAATGTATGCCTGTGCTCACGAAGCACAAAGTTAAAGCGGATAAATAAATAATTTAAACAAGCTATGTCCTCATTCTCATTTTCATTCGTCATAGTGGCATCAATTAGAGCACTAACCTCAAATGCATTTATCTCAAAAATGGCACGACAAAAGTTTACGCTCTGCGAAAGTGATTCTAGTTTCTACCAACACATGGTTATATAGTGTATTTACAGTAAAAATTAAATTCGTATATAACGAAATTAGTATTTCCAATTGTAACTGTGTCACTTGTGTCAAACAAATGGAGCCAAATTAAGTAAATTTTCAAAAATCAAATTTAGTCAACACTTGGGTGGGATACAGTTTTCTGACAGCATCATCAATTTGTAAACGTAATTTTGTTATCAAAGTTTTGGGCAGCTCTGCTTCAAAAACTAAAATTCATTTACTCACGCTTAGCTACTGCTTATGCCTCCTCCAACAACTACCCGCCCAATCAAAGAGGACAACTCCAACTCTGAGCGTTTCGTTCCGGTCAAACAATATGCTTTACTGTTTCCTTGATCGTGGACTTATAGAGTCTGAGAAGGGCCTTAAGAATTTAACATCGATATTGTTGTCTGAAGAGATGACCTCAAAGTTCCGCCTCAAAAAAGGAGGTTTATGCTTTGAAAAGTGTATCAGTTAATCTTTTTTCGTAATTCCATATAAATATCTTTTAATATAAAAAGCTGTACCAAGTAAGACACTGTTTTGGCGCGATTTATCTAGCTATAGCTGACTGATTTGCTAAACTTTGGCATCTCAATTCACTGAAAGCGCGTACTTACACCCACACATAGCAATCTTCTGGACTTATGGCTTGGCGCTGCCACCAAAGCACCCTCGCATTCAAGCGTTTTAATATCTCCATATAACTATTTGCATCCACTTCACTCCCATCCGCAACATTACAACAAACACTGCAATACATATGCACAGGCGTACATATGTCTCTATAGCAGCTCATATGAAAATTCGTATCGATATTTTTTAAATTTTCCACATCATTAGATTAACTCACTCGAGTGAATTTTTCATCTTACGCGAAAGTCACAAGCGCTCGTCTACATATACATATTTAGTATATACATATATATATATATATATTTGTATACATTATTGCAAAGTTATAATATTGCAAGAACTTAGAAAACATTTCCTCTTCTAAAAATCGAGATATTACCTTTATGGATATGAGCTGCATACCGAAGATTTTCCATGAAAAAATTTCTACTAATAAAATATCCATACATATATATAGTCGAAAAAGTCCTTTCGTATTTCTAAATTTCAACTTATTTTTTTATATTTCTAATGAACTTTAATGAACACAATGTAAACCAATTTGGTTGACCACTCCGCTAGAGACAATATTTCATCAGGGTGAAACTTCTCAGCGAAAATCTGCGATAAGTCATTTTCACAGGCTTCTATTGAAGCCGACTTTACTTCATTAAGAGAGTTATGCATTGACCGAAACAAATGGAAGTCCCATGTTGCAAGGTCAGGGCTGTATGATGGATGCATCAAAACTTCCCAGCCAAGATCTCCCAGTTTTTGCCGAGTCATCACAGATGAGGGTGGTCTAGCGTTGTCCTGATTGAAAACGAAGCCCTTTCTAAAGATCAGTTCTGGGCGTTTTTTTTTCTCGATTGCTTCTTTCAATTTCATCAGTTGTTGACAGTAAAATATAGCATTAATCGTTCGACCAGGCTGGAGCAGCTCATAGTGGATTATTCCTTTCCAGCCCCACCAAACATTCTTCACATCGTTCAGTTGTCATTATTACTTTCTTGTAAGGGTGTTTTGAAGGCATGACTACCGCCTAATGGGAGAACGGTGTTACTGACTGAAATTATTCTTCTAACCAAACCATATACATACATATGTTCTTGTATGCATGTGGCTTAGGGACGTCTGGTATATTTCTAACTAGTTTAGTTTCCATTTGAAAATGTTCCGTGTAAACCAAACTTTTTGACTTGAGGTTCTTTGCTAAAGACCACACATACAATATACTTGTACGTTTAAGTTTGTTATTCAAAAGCTGTCGATTGTTATCTGTTCCCAAATAATATCTCATTTTATTTACCCACTATTTAATTAAGCTTCGGTGGAGCTTTTGCTCAAGTCGATAAAGAAAAATACCGCTAATTTTTAAGTATTCCTGAAGATAACTATTTTTCCCTTTATTTGATTGACTGCTTGTAGGGATATTTTTTATTCTTCCTTCGCTGGGCTTACTATTGTGGGCAAAAATAGTAAGACTTTTTCGTATGAATTAAAACCCATCCGTCAAAATATTGTTTTTCTAGGTCAGTCAGTGACAAATGTCACATTAAAATAATCTTTAGTGTTTAATATACGTTTGTCTTTCTGAAGTACTATATGTATATGAAGTGCATTCGGCGATTTTTACGTAGAGTGAACTTATTCCACAAATTATTGAATTTTGTGTGTGGAATAAAATTTCTGATAAAAATTTCAGAATGTTGGAAACGGCCGTCGGTGATAATTGTTTGTCGTTAGCAAATGTTTTCGTTTGGTACAAGTTACTCACGACGTTGACGACGAACCACGTCCAGGTCGGATAATAACATTATGATTTGTGCTTGAGAATCGACGTAACAGTCATTTTGAAAGGTCCTTTGGGTTTAAGAAAAGTGAAAGCACGATAGATTCCAAAACCACTACATTTTTCGAAAAACAGCGACGCCTTAACATCTGTGAAAAAAATCTTTCCGACTACCGGAATGTCACTAAACGTATTATTACTGTCAAAGAGTCTTGGATCTATGCTTACGATCCTAAAATAGTTGATCAGTCGGCCGAACATCGTGGAAAATGTGAGCCGAAGCCGAAAAACCACGTCAAAGTAAGTCAAAATCAAGGTTATGTTGAAAGTTTTCTCCAATTATCGAGGTGTGGTGTCCTCTGTTTCCTTCCGATCGGCCAAACTATCAAAAAGGAATTTTTGTTTAGTAAATATATTAATTTGTGCATTACATCATCTACATTTTTAAGTACGAAGGCGAACCTGCATTCGATTTACAATCAACATTTTGAGACTTCCGAAAATGCTAAAATTTTTGTGCGTGGACATGCGTGGACTGTTTTTAAATTTATTGTGGATTCCAAGTCTCATTAAATCGGCAATTTATGGCATTATAAACATTTATTGTGTACTAAAAAAATATTTTTATATTTCCTTTCAGAAAGTGGTGAACTGAGTCGAATTCTCCCGCAATAAGCTCAACGCTTTGGAAAGTGTTGGTCAATGTTGAATTGAGCGTGCTTTTAGCAAATTAAGCTGCTCATTCTAACAAAATTACTGTGTACCTGCGCTTAATTCACCAACCTCCTTTCCTTCTCTTTTTTCACCAACTTCGATATTAAATATTGGTCTAAAGTTATTAGAAAGCTTATGACTTTGATTATTATGACTGTAATATATTTTATATTTGTCTATTGGCTAAAGCATGGAGATCTAACTTACATAAATTCGATTTCATTGCTAAGATTAACTTAAATGTATTAAGGAACATTGTTGAACTTCAGAAGACATTCGTAAAGCGATATTTTCATAGTTTCAGGCAAAGTGAATAAAGCTAGTATGCCCAGGAGCATACCCAGCACCCCTACAATGAAGAAAAAGTGCGGTTCGTTGAAATCCGTGTAGAATACCAGCAAAGCCAGCGCTATTTGCACGAATTGTTCGCAAACTACTACCAACGCCAAGCAGCACGCCTTCGCAGACACGGTAAATGCTTCTGACATATACACACTGGAGATCAACGAAACGCCAGCGCATATGAAAGCCTGATAGCACCACATCAGGTAGACGACCAATTCGAATGTCAGGTGCGTCAGTAGAACCAACGAAATTTGCTCGTAGATATACCGCAGCACGCCAGCCAAGAGAAACGCGCAAGTTCCAGAGAAGAGCAGGCAAATAACAGCGATCCTTCTGCGCCCACATATGTCCACGCACAAAGCGCCCATAACGCTGCCGAGCACACCGCAAAGAGACAAGAGGTAAACACAGTTTGTGGCGCAATTCAAGCCCGTCATACTTGCGGTGACAAATGTGCGATTGACGGGCAACGACAGCGAAATGGTGCCGTAGCAACGCAGTAATAGCATCTTGAGCAGCGGCAGTGAGTTGCTCTTGCGCACCGCCTTTCGCGCCATCGGGCGCGCATCATGCTCCAGCATCTGTTTGCAATCCTCATGCTTTTGCGTCAACTCTGCGCTGGTGTAGCTGGTGCTCTGTAGTCGATTCATTACACATGTGGCGGCTAAGTCACGCTCTTGCATATGCAGCAGCAGTGGCGACTCGAAGCGGTAGAGGGTGTTGCAGGCCAGCGCACACAGCGCCACCAAGATTACCACAGTGCCATGTAATTGATTTAGGTGCAGCGGATAGCCCTTTGTGGGCTCGTATAAGAACCACAGTCGCGTGCAAAACAGCTGCAGACAGATGCCTAGCCAAAGAAAAACTCGCTCGCTGGAAACCAACAAGCCGCGTATGTCTTTGTGTGCCACCTCCCCGGCTGTCACGAGGCCCTGTACTTGATTGATGCCATAAGCTGAGCCTTCCAATAAGCAACTGCACAGTATGCAGGCAAATGAGGTGGGTGCGCAGGCAAAGAGCAGGCCCCCAAGCAGAAGGAGTGTGCCGCTTGTCCCCTGAAAAGATAAAAATGCGATAAGGCAAATAGTAAATGTACAGTTCGTCAGCAAATATAGATAATGGTTCATATGCAAATTCCTCTTACGGTGTTCTCATTAATTTGAAAGCTCTCCCTCCCTGAAGTGCGTGCGTAATCTATGGGCATTAAATTGATTAGGGTCTACTTAGGTAGCATTATTGGTAAGTACTATTTTTATCAAGTGGAAAATTGAATCAGATAACACATTTGGTACATTTAGGTAAACGAGACCGTGTGTGTTACTTGTATCTATTTTAAGAAATAAGTTGGGTATCGCCCGAGAACCCCGTGTTTGCAGAAGTTTTCTTAGTCTTTGGATTTAAAAATTGTTGGCCACTATTTCCTCAATGGCTAGCTTCGGAGTTATCTTGTATGATCTTAACTTGTGTTGTGTTATGCGTTCGCGAAATAATAATTTTCTAATCAGCTAAGCCATGCTCAGTTGTAACCTAATATTTTATACTTTTGCAACTAGCAGGAATCAAAGCCATAGAAACAACTTGAGGAGATAAACGTCAATCAGATCGGAATCGAAGCAATTTTATATATACATATTATTTATAGAGTAGTCGAAAAAGTCTTTTCGTATTTCTAATCAAACTTCCATTTATTTATTTTTTATATATAATGTATTTTAATGAACCAGATATAAACTCTTTTCATCGAGCACCTTTTGCCATTTTTTTGCTGGAGACATTATTTCATCAATATAAAACTTTTCTGATTTCTCGGCGAAAAACTGCGACGAGCAATTTTCACAGGCTTCTCTTGCAGCAAATTTTACTCCATTAAGGGAGTTCTGCATTGACCGAAACAAATGGTAGTCCGATGGTGCTAGGTCAGCGCTAAGTATATGGCGGATGTATGAAAACTTCTCTGTTATGGTCTCCCAGTTTTTGCAGAGTCATCAAAGATATGTGTGGTCTAGCGATATCCTGCCCTTTCTATTGATCAGTTCTGTTCTTTTTTTCGATTGCTTGCTTCAATCTCATCAGTGGTTGACAGTAAAATGTAGAATCAAAATCAATCGTTCATGGTATCCAAAGATCGGGCTTCTTTTTGTAGCTAGCCTTTTTTAAAAGTTTCAAAACTGTTTTCTGATGAATGTTAAGTGCCTTAGTGATGTCATTTCTGCTTATATGACGTTCCTGCTCAATATTTTCCATAATTTCATTGACTTTTTGAACGATAGGTCGACCAGAGCTAGGTGTGTGTTTCATATCGAAATTTGTAGAACGGAAGCGAGCGCACCATCGTTGTGCTACCCTTTTTCGACTACCCTATCATTTTATGTAGTAACTATATGAGAGATGTGGTAGTATCGATCGTGTTTTATCTATTAACTATTATCATGCCACATATTAATACTCATATACAATCCTATGAAGTAAAGTCAGGCGAATGTTGGAAAACACTGATGTTAGTTATATGGTGACGAGGTTAAGATTTCGCCCAATCATATCTATTTTAAGCACAAAGATATACTGAGTAAAATATGTTATCTCAGTGTTAGAGATAACTCAGATATTGACCGATATATGCCGCATAAAGTCACCCAGAAATTCGAAAATCTTTGTAGGTATATATTAACTAAGGGAAGTACTGACTTGATTAAGCCCATTTTTGACAACAGGAATACTAACTTCCGGGAGGGATTCTCTCTGAATTGCGAATATATATTTCACATTTTGACTGATACTGAAATTGTGCTATCTGGATATAGATAAATCAGGCCGTATCTAAATATCGACCCTTTACAGCTTGTCCAGACAGGCAACCGGATTTAAACTCGTCTCATTATTTTGATCATTTACATATACAAAACTTTAAATATATCTCGCTTAGTTTTAGGCGGTAAACAGAACCGTCCCTCTTCTAAGGACTTTATACTTTTTTTTTTTGTTTAACAGATAATAAAGGGACGGTGGATCGTTGATGGTTAGCAATTTACTCGTAATGATAACTAAAGAAAGCAAAATAAGCTCCCGTATTGAAGCTGAATGTGATAACGCTAGCTTATCGCCAATAAAGTTCAATTTTTCTTAATATATGCTTGGTATTTAAGATAGGGCAGAATTTAATTAGCCCGGGGTCGTCTTCTAAACCATAATGTGGGAACTTATCGCTGTATAACATTCATCGTAAACAATGTGAATTATGTAGGTGTATTTAGATACGTACATGTGATATATTCTTGTTAACGCGGTGGACGAACGCGCCTGCCATGATTGCTCCTGCAGCTACGCCAACAAACCATGCGATTGTCAGCAGATGGGTGTCGATGAGCGTTTGCGAACCGCTAACTGGTTTTTCAAATATACACCAAGCCAGCTTCAAGCCACCAGCGAAGAAAATAGTAGACGCTGTAAGATGAATACAAAATTTGATGACAAATATTTTTCGAAAAACATGTTTTTAATCTTTATTTAAGAATCCGTCTGAAGTGGAATTGTGGTTTGTGGCCCATATGAATTGCGTGCACAAAAGGTTTAATAATTTATCATAGTCTTTATCTCTGGCTTCTCTTCAGTTGTCGAATAAATCTTTATATACCATATGGTTCCGTTTTTGAATCCCGGAATTTGTTGCGAGATCACAGTTTATTGCCTGATTGTCAGTATTAGAAGAGCGCGTGCAGCCAAAACTCACCTGAAGTCATTGCCTGAAATTGAAGTCGATACCGATAGAGCATACGCAGCCATGATTGTTTGCCCGGCTCCTCGATGCTGGGTGGCAGGGGCATCACGTATAAATCGTGTGTGTTGAATTTATGCTTTGCAGTTTAACTTCAAAATACTTTTTACTGCTACTTTGATAATTCACGTATTTACTTTCATCGATTTTATTGATTATTTTTACAACAACTCCACCGTAGCTTTTTCGAAAACTGCCATTCTGTAGACTGCTATTAGACCTGCGACGGATTGGTTTGCACTTTTACCATGCACTCACGCAATTAGAGAGACACTTAAGACACTTAAAAATTCGTGTTGAAGTCTGACTTTGCCTATGATAGACGCTCAGCGGACTTGCTTGCTTGTTCCACTGACTCGCAACTGGTTTGTATTGCCAAAGAAGCGACTGCTGATAACGAAGCTCACTTTTGCCAACGTTAATTTGCACACAGGTATGAACATATGTGTGCATAGCAGTCAATATTATCGATCGTCAATATTTATCAGCGATAAGATAGTAATACCATGATTTAGAAAAGATCATCATTGGCAGACTGGAGGCCGGTTATTTGCTTTATTTATATCAGTGTTGTACTGAAGAGCTTTGCCGTACTTCTGAGAAGATATTTGGCGCTTTGTTAGTGTAAAACACCACATAAATGGCGCATTTTGTTAAATAGTTAGAAAAGCGGAAATTGAACCAATGCCGACCATGTTTTAGCCACGCGCAGTAGCATTTCTACACCTACTAGAGCTCATGCGTTGATAAAGTGAATGAGGGCTTACGGAATGCCATATGAGACAAATTAGTAGATACAATTGATAGCTAAAATATGTCAAAACTAATATTGTTTAAATATTTCCAGCCTTAAGTTCTAATTAAACAAATAATATTGGTGTTTTGGGTAAAAAGTAAAAGGCCTATTCTTGGATACACATACATCCTTATGACCTTTTAAAGTGGTTTAACTGGACGCAGCATTAAAGGTAGTAAAGAGTCTATAACTTGATAGATTGTAGAATTCTGGTTTTGCAACCACAATCCAGTCTTTAATAAAAATGACGTCAGGGTGAACTTTTCCTGGATTTTTCTCTAAATCTACAGTTCGAGAGGATGACTTTTGTGATGTTACCGGGAAAGAATATTCTTACTTACATAGAACTCAGGTAACTCAGTAAGGGATTGTGAATACTTAAAAACCCAGCAATAACAGGTTTTGTAATGAAGAAAATAATAAGTTGAAGTAACCAATCTGGCAACTTTGATAAGCACTGAATATGTAGCATACTAACATTAAAATGGGTATAATACATGTGGGCACATATAAACTTAACTCTTTATTTTTATACCCTCAACACGGTATATTGAAGTTTTTAACGCCTTGAAGAAAACATCGGAGACCTTTTAAAGTACATACCATATGTTATACGAGCATCAATGAGCAGCTTGACAAGCTGAGTGTCGATTTACCCATGACCCTCTCAAACGGTGGCTTCGCGGCTAGTCCGTAAGGTTTTAAGTTGTTGATCTGAAATTTGCACACAACCGCCGACATCGAAACACTCTGTAAACGTTGGGGGATGGAGTCATGTGTAGAAGTTCTGCGATTGCCATTCATTTGGGAGTGGCCAGAAACGATTCTTTTAGATATGGTTCAAGCGGCTCACGACTTCCGGTCTAAGAACAAGTATCCTTTGGTTAGCCAACGAATTTTCAATTGAAGTCGAGCTAAACTGAGAAGGCGAACCATTCCTCCCCAGGGTTGTGCCCCACCTGCTTTTCTTCGTTAAGTAACTTCAATTTGGAAAGAACTATGTAAGCAAAGAACTAAGCMATTTGATTCAAAGCATGTTTTCAGACTTAGTTGTACATATAGTTCTTACATTCCATACACCTGCCAAGGGTATTATTACTTACCGTTCGTTTATTTGAAAATGGATAAATTAATAAATTTTCTGCACTGAATAGATTTGGTTTAATATCTGAGATAACATCTGAGGGCCAGATTTCAGAGTGGCGTGCGTGGACGCCAGTAGTTATCAGCAATTAATAAATAAATTGTACTTGATGAAAGATAAGCAAAACAAAGCAAAAGCTTTGATCGACATTAAGAGCGATTTTGTGCTTGTGTGTGTAGTATTTCCGCTGGCTGGAGCAAATTAAATTTGAGTGATGTGGTTTTACGATAATATATACGGCCGGCAAAAAAAAAAAAAAAAAAAAAAAAAAAAAAAAAAAAAAAAAAAAAAAAAAAAAAAAAAAAAAAAAAAAAAAAAAAAAACCACATATCCGAAAGAATTAAGTGAAGCAACATAACAAAAAACAACAAATTTTAAAAACTAAAAATTTTCGCTCAATTTTAAATATTTTTATTTCACATAAATTCTCTTATTCATTACATCAAGACTCACCGCGACCTCATTTAATGAGCTCAATACTGAATGCAATAATATCAATACTTAATATCATTCGTGGTGTCTATTGCATTCTCTCTTCACTACAAAATTATATTTTCGTGGTACAAAGGTTCATATTTTCGCTGCATGATCTCATGCCAACATTTCTCACATTTAGTCTGCCTCTACTTGGCCTTTGTTTACTTCCTGTTGGAGACTTATTGTTGCTGTCACTATTATTGTTTGTATTGGAAACATGCTTAATGTCGACTTACTTACATGTGTCTTTTTTTTTTCCCCCAAAAAAAGAGAATTCATAGCCATCGTGCCAAATTAGTAAGTTGGGTTCTTTGGAGTTCTGAAGTTGATTATTCATTTGTATTTTGTGTGTTTTTAGGTAAAGGTTAAAATATCCGTGATTCGCTGTTGAAGTGACAAGTTGTTTAAATGTTTTGCAGACAACACGCCTTAAATGTGTTTTGAATAAAATCGGAATATAAATTAAAATAGTAAGTGTAGGGAAACCAGAGCTGTCAGCTAATATCTAGTAGGAGCAATAAAGTTAATGCTGCCTATATACCTTACCAACTATATTTATGTAGCTGCACAAAAACAAACATTTGCTTAGTAGGGTGGTGTAGTAAAAGGTGATCTATTTCGAGGTTCTCTATTTTTTTTTTTTAAAGAAAAATAAGCTTCTATGTTATTGAGAATGTTTGTTATCATTTGAAAGAACATTTTTAGCATTTATTTTTTTGAAAACCTCTCTACCAAATGTTGGCCGCGGATACGTCTCAGATAGTCCAACCGTTGAGATTGTCCGCTTAGACTTTAGACTTTACTTTTTATCCTCAAAGGAAAAAGTCGTTGTGACATTACACGATCTTGGTGGGCAATTGACCAGTCCATAACATGAAATTACCTGCTCACCGAAAATAAAACTGTTCATTGATGTGGGAAATTTCTTTTTGAAAACAAATGTCACAGAGATCACGGTCTTCAAATTCAGGCATCAAATAATCGGTTATCATGGCACCATAATGGTCACCATTGACGGTTACGTTCTAACCAGACACAAATCACACCAAATCGTTGTTTTTTCTAGATGAAATGGCGACTATTGAATCTCTTCAGGTTGCTCTTCGTCCCCAATGCAGAAATGCTTGTTTACATACCCATTGAGCCAGAAATGGACCTCATCGCTTAACAAAGTACAGCTCGTAAACGTTGGATCTTCTTGAAAGTTTTTAAGTTTTTGTGTATTTTGTACACTTTTCATTTATGATTTCGACGTAAAATTCGCCAAGTCGTTCCATACGTCAGCCCGAGTTGCTGCGAACGACGTCCAATCGTCTCTCCACGGTCTTCGTGTACACTCTCAACTACGGCTACTATATTTTGTTCAGTGTGTACGGGACGTGATTCTATTCGTTCGAATATTATCCAATAATGACTGCTGAGTCTCAAGATAGGTGACGGTGTTGGGAATAGTACGCACTACTGAGCTTTGGCTTACTTGATATTCATGGAGTTCAAATGGACTTGACTGATTGTCTTTTTCGTATGCGCAGCACACCAATTTTGGACCAAACATTATTGTCATCGTAATTTAAATGAAAACTAATGTCTATTTTAATAAGTATTCACCTTTTCATGAGCTATAACTAAATTGAATTCTTTTTATTTGTCGTTTAAAATTTTCAGCTGCTTAAATACATATACATATGTCAATTCGACTGAAGTTTTAAAACCAAAAAATCCAAATGACCTTAATAATTTACAAACGTTATATATTTTGTCGTTAAGACAAAGTAGGCTTAGAGGGAGCATTCCCCAGTGTAATTTGGAATTTGCCTAGGGTGGTAAATTATCTCGGGCCGGCCCTGTATATATGTATAGCGGAAACTTTAGGTGTGTGTCTTTTTTGTAAAGCTTTCAAATGATTTGCAACCATTCCCGAAAGATGTCGCCCGCTTAATCTTTGCATGGCGGCTTATTTTAAATTTATCCTAGCACTCTAACCAGAGAACATTCATTAACATTTGCGTTATAACTATGTATGTATTTACATATAGCTAAATGACTTTTTAAGCCTATATATAAAGTAGATATAAATTAAAGATAATGAAAATGACACACGACTGCCCTGTGACTCTTCTTCTGATTCTTCGGTTACTTTAGCGGGTTTCGTGATTCATGCCTTTGTTGATATATCACATAAATGACATTCGGTGCGGTGTTTTTAGATTCTTTAACCAAAGTTAGGCTCGAATGTGTGCTAAAATGACTTCGTACAATCGAATACAACGAAAAAAAAAATAACTGTATATCTTACTATTTCAATAATTTTTGATGAAGTAAAAAACCTTAGAAAAAATCACAAAGTACTTCATTCATAATGAAATAATATTGTAATTGAATCACACTCATTGGGATAAAATGTTTCTGAATTTACTTTGAGCTTCTTGCAATGAAACTTGCTTAGTCTCTGGTAGACAGAGGAAGCTTAAAACGAAGAACGCCAAATAAAAGACACCAAATGTAATGAAGTATGCGGCCAAGCTGTCTTTGTCTGGCGTACAAGCGCCGATAATAAGTAACACGAGCATCTCCACGATGAAGGGCAGAGCAATGTAGTAGGGTTTTAAGCGCAGCGGAAATGCTTCCGTCAAATAGGCTGAGGACGCGCCGTTGACGAAGCTCACCATTAGCCCCAGCACAAAGAGCATATACAGCACATATCCCATTTTTGACGGAATAAAATAGTTGACGAAGTCATTGTAAATGGCGCCTATGGCGATCGCTAAGACACCGCTAGAAAGTGCGCCGATAAGAAGTACCAACTTGCGACCAACTGAGTCCAGGCAGAAGGCTGCTATGTAGGTGCCTAGCCACAAACACAACCCGTATATTATCCAAGGCCAAGTGATGAATTGTTCTGCATATACTGTAGATGACCATAAAAGTGCTGCCGCAATGGCTGGCG